CTCTCCCGTCCCCGCCCAAACGCAGCCGGCACGGCGGCGCCGTTCCGAAACAGGCTCCTCCTGTTGGCGGGGGTAAGAAAACCGAGGGGCACGTTTAGCTCCCTGCTCTCAGTGAAACGTCCTGCGGGGACGGACTAGGGACTATCTCAGCAGCTTTGCAGGAGAGGGAACACTGGGGGCCAGGGTTTCGCAGTGCCTCTTACTCTCTTGTCGGAGCAGGAGCAACTGGTCCCTGGGAGCAGGAGCAGCTCTGTGGCGTGTCCCAGCCATGGCCACTTGCTGGGTGTGGGTATCACGCAGGGCTCTGCCTCTTCCCACGCCGCCCTCCCTCCCGCGTGGACTTGCTGGGGCAGGACAAGAGCGTGTCTATGACGGCTGGACCCCTGGAGGAACTTGTCAAACCATGAGAGCGAGGAGCAAGAGCCCATCTCGCATTGCCCATCCCGGTCCTGCATGGCTGCCCGCCAGGCACTGAGTGCTCCAAAACTCCTGCCTGCAGCTCTCTGTCTGGCCTTTTTTTGTGTGGTTCCGGTTAATTTCTGCACGTTTTCATACACCTCCTGTCAGAGGCGTAACTGTTTCTGGGAAGCAGCTGGAAGCGAAGGTCGGCCACTTGCCTGGTGGCCATGGAGGTGCTGATGCTGTGTAAAGAGAACAGAGCAGGAGCCACACCGAAGAGGTGGTTGACCCGAGGGGCTGACGTAGTCCGGTATCAGCAAGACAGAAATGCTCTAAATAGCTGGAGAACACCAAGCCCAAGGATTTGGAGCACGAGGAGGTGTAAAGTGTCAGGCACCTGGGTGCCTGGGGCAGGGAGGAAGAGAATAGGGACAGAAAGAGGGACTTGTAAAGGGATGTAGCCAGTGCAGAGGAACTTCAGAAGAGCCTTTTCTGCACAAGTGTTCAGAATTCAAAACAAGCCTTTAAGTATGACTTTGCCAAGGAAGTAGGCGACCTGTTTGAACGGGAATGGAAACTGCATGTCCTCAGGAGGAGAGGAAATGACAAGACATTTCAAGACAACACATTTTTTTATAAGAAGTGGTGGATATTGTGAGAAAATTTCAGCAATGTCAGGTGACTGAACTCTGGTAATTTTTCATCCCACTGCAGGGGTGGAGCAGCCAGTAAAGGAAATGAAAAACACTATAAAAAGTGTTCCTTGATATAAGATATTGCCCTCTGAATATTACTTTGTGTATTGCTGTTAACTGTTCCATTTTGTAGAGATCAATACTAGCAGTTTCGTTACTTTAGAATATTTGAAAACTAGGATACGTGATGAAAGTAGAACTCACTCAACTGCAATTTAATTGAAATATATTCCTTGGAGTTCTTGTACAGGATGGGAATGTTGGAACATAAGTAAAGATTACTGTAAGAAATAACATACTAGAAAAAGGTGAGGCAAACAAAATGAAACTTAGTATACCAAATTTCAATGCTAGCAAAAATTGTTTTACAAATACTCTTTTCAGAGAGACCAGTTGCAAAGCATAACAAGGAACGAAAATGTGCCATAACACACCACCTGAAAAGGCTCTTTTAAAAACCCGAGCTGCTGTTAAACAGTGGCAGACTGCTTAATAGCACATAATTCTCAAACCAGAAGAGCTTTAATATATTCATGAGGTGAAGTGGTGAGTCCTGTTGCTACTAGGATATGCTGTGTTAGTGTGCTTTAGGCAAATCCAGAGAAGCTTTTTAAGCAATTGTTTTGTGCATGTAAAAAACTACCTGAAGTTAATAAGGTTGTTTATAAAAAAGTGTTTCTGGTGTCTAGTACTGTGGAGTTTCTTTTTGGTTATTTTTTCAAATGAAGATGCATATAGCTGGGCACTGGATAGGTTTACTGGCTTTTTATGCTATTTCTGCCCTGCTTCACCTCTCTGTATCATTATCCTGAAGTCTCTTGAGTCCACTTGGCAGTTTGGTTACATATCATGTGCCTATTGAAAATATTACTTGCCTTCTCTGTTACTGGAATATTTGACATTTCTTGTGTTATCAATTGCTTCTAAAATTAGTGGTTTTCCCTGTTAATGACCATATAAAGTTGAATAGCAAACAATATTATTTTCTCCTCACCCCTGCTTCTTTTTGGGTAGATTTGAAGAGTGTTTTGCAAAGGGCAATACATCTATTACATTTATGAGAGAAGTCAGCTTGCATGCAAGAGACATTTCCTAAAAATCTTTCTAGGTTTCTACCAGTTTCCAGGAAATACACTTGATTTCAACTCTGTTACATTATGAAGATGTATACCGTAAGGCTTTGTTTAGAAAAACTCAGGTGGTGGCCAAATTGCTTGAGGAAACATAAAAAGATTAAAGATTGAGTTCTGCCTGGCTCCCAGATTCTCGCTTTGTGAGTCAGTGTAGCTGAGACATATCACAAAGATGACACATATTGACTCTGGGGAGGGAGCACCAATTATTTGCCTTGTTATTTTCCATGTCAGGCAAGTAATAGAGCAATATTGTGCCAGCCAGCGAAAGAAGAAATTTCTAGCTTGTCTGTCCTTCAGCTTGAAGGGCTGTTGTACATACTTCTCAAAGACAGATACATGTTTGGAAATTAGGACCTTACTGCAAAGAAGAACACAAATATCTAGATCTTCCACTAAATTCTACTTTGGAGCAAGACAAAGTGCCAGGCAGTATCAACAGCGCTCACTTTCCATATTAACGCCCTCCCAGGGAAGTGGCCTATGGATCACCAGGCCCAGAAAAACTATTTGGATGGCCGTGTTGTGTAGTCTTTCTCCTGCAAGGCAGAGCAGAGGTGTTTAACGTTCCTTTAGTCATTCTCCAACGTCTGTACAAGTTGCCTTTGTTGTCTGTTGGTCTGTTTCGTAGATCTATTTGCGATTCTTGGACTACGAGATGCAGAATTCCAACGAATGCAAGAGGAATTTCGTAGCTGTCTATGACGGCAGCAGCTCCGTGGAGGATTTGAAAGCGAAGTTTTGCAGCACCGTCGCTAACGACGTGATGCTGCGGACAGGCCTGGGTGTGATCCGCATGTGGGCAGATGAAGGCAGTCGAAGCAGCCGGTTCCAGATGCTCTTCACCTCTTTCCAAGAACGTAAGACCCTAAGCAACGCGCCCGCCTTCCAGTTTGTTAAATGCTCACGAGTCCCAAAACCTCTCAGGGCATCCTTCATGCAGAGTAGTCACTGAAGAATGTCCCCAAACAACCTGTGTCAATATTCAGGACAGGTTTTATTCCAAGTGTTTACGGTGTGTGATAACTGATAAGGCCGTAGGTGGAGCCCAGGAGTCAGAGGCAGGCAGACAGGTAGAGTAGCCACGTGTGTCCGCGACTTTTACCCGATCACCAGGCTACCAGGCCGCTACGTCTCAGCTTTCCCTTACACAATGGGGAAAATAATCCGGTTCTGAAGGTTTTTATCAAACCTGATCCTTTTCTATGAATTTCGTTTTTCAGATCTCATTATGATGGGCGTTTGAAAAATATCTTATGACTATTTCATCACCGATGGTGGGTGTGTTTGTGCATACTCCAGAATGCATATATCGATAATGCCAGACATTGTTAAGCAAAGACTTTAGTTAATTTTTTGCAGTAACAGAAGTCTTCTAAAACCCTTACATGATGTTTTGGTTAATATTCTCTCTATACACTTTGGCTGCATTCGTATGTTTCTATGATTTCTGGGCTCAGATAATAAGCAAAACAGCCTTTGAAAGAAACAAAAGTTAGTTCCAGCCAGTTTAAAACAAACAAACGTACCACAGAAAACCCCTCAACAAAACTCAACAATCCCATTCACTGGGAACGATTGACGCGGGAATCACCTGTGAAAGATACCGATTCGTTTTCTTTGATGGAAATAATGCATATTTGGTCCCTTGAGGAAGGAGTATGTGCGTTTATTTTCACATGTCGATTCGTGTTCGTTTTTAATGTAGTTTTGGGTTTGTGCGTCACACGTCTGACAGGCGGATTCCTGTGCGGCTGTCAGTGGTCGGGATGAAGGCGCGATCCTGCCAAACACATTCTTCATCTGTATGCTGTGTGTGTGTGTACCCTGCAATGAGGCTGTGAGACTCTGTTGAGAGCTGCCTCTGTAATTCCTTAATTATGGCTCTGATTAAAAATTTCTGACAGTCTGCATGCCCGAAACTGCAAACGCCACTGCGCCCTCACACCGCAGCCTTCGGGTGGATTACATTTTTCTGGCCCGTAAATCAGGCCAGGGTCTAAAAGATACTGCGGACCCTCAGTTGAGATGATACTGCCCTTTCCTCGTTTCTGCAACTGGAGGTGTCTTGAATATTCAAGATCTGATTCATTTTTTTCGCAAGGCATCCTGATCTGTTACCTTAGAAACAACTGCATAGACACTGGAGGTTCGCAGCGTATAAGAACTGGAGAGTGAAGCGCTGTGATGACTAACTTGGAATGAAGGTTTGAATAAGTGTGTGTTTGCCCGGCTTTCATGTTTTAAAGGAAAACAAGGAAAAATGTGTTTTTTTCTCTTACAGTATTCCTAATATGTTCCTGACATGCTGCATCTTATGAGCTACTCCATTCTTGTAAACAGACAGTAGTTTATCCCGCACGGTGTTCTGACAGGGAGCTGAAAATATTAACATGATGGGTTTTCTGTAAATTTATTCTGAGCAGTCATTGTGCGCTACCGGCTGAAAATCTATTAAGGGCTTAAATTGTGCTTTGACATACGTATAATCGCAGAGGAAGCTGCATCTGTGTTTTCAGTGCTGGAGATGGACTTTACAGATGTAAAGGCAGTGCAGGTCGCGCTTGCTGTGCCCCGTCGGGGGTCGGTCGGTGCTGCCCGGCGCAGCGGAGCGGAGCTGGCTGTCGGGAGCCAGAGGCACCTGAGCGCTCCGCGGGGCCGTGGCTTTCAGCGGCGTGGGGGAATAATTAGATCATCTGCATGGAAGGGGAGGAATGTCAGACCTCATTCAGGGAGATGTGCATCAGGGAACAGACACCTGTGTCTCCTCGGGGACAAAGAAAGAGGAGAAAAGCTGCTTTGTTGCCCTGGAGCTCAGAAAGGACCAAAACATGAGATGACGTCTATGTTGTGGTTATGTGCGTGGGGAAGAGTGACAACGTGAAATCCCTGTACTTACTGTTGCAGCGGGAATGGTTCGGAGGTGTTGTGGTCTGTAGCCCCCCAAGTTCCTCTCCTTAGTGTGGGGTGAAGTTGTTGAGATTGTCAGCCTCCCCTTTCACAAGGCTCTGTGAATTGGAAGTGGGTTTTTTTGTGTGGAAACAGGCTCCTTGGCTGGAGGAAGGTTTTCTTTCTGTGTAAGTCTGTTAGTTCTTCTTGGGGACTTGACATTTGTGTAGAACAGAGGAATCTTAAAGAGATTTCTTACAGGATTGTTTTCACGGGGTTTGGTCAGTGCGCTCCAGCTACATTTGAAATAGATAGGTGGTTTTTGTTCGGGTCTTACAAGTTTCCAAACCTCTAGCAGTGCCGCTCTGCAGAGCAGCAGTGCTAGAAATATGGCTGAAGGAAAGACATACATGGCAAGAAGTTGCTATTTTTTCCTATGCCAGAAAATCAGTGATGATTCTCACATTGTCGAAATAGTAGTAGAGCTCTAAGTGACATTTAACAACCAATTAATTCTTAATAGCTGACAATTTAGAGTGATGATCTGTTAATTTGTGATCAGCATTGTTAGCTGTTCCAACTATCATTATGGGTTTTGTCTGCTCCTGTCCTCACCTTTTTAATCTTTAATGTATCTTCTAAGCATATAGATATATAACCATAACTTTGTGTGAGGTAGTCACTGTCTACAGTAGATTTCAAATACCCAATAAACCGATTTAAGAATCAGAAAAAGGAAAACAAGAAAGCTGATGTCATCAAAAGGTTCACCTGGTAAGACTTGAAAAATGAGTCTTTGTGTTTTCATCCGCTGACTAACCGCTCATTTCATTTTCCATGACTGTGAGAGTGATCTCCAGTCTGACTGATGAATGACAGCCCTGCTAGACCTACAGCTCCTCCAGAGAGCTGCTCCCGCGCAGGCACACTGTGGCTTTATCCCAAAAGCCGATCCCTAGAACCAGGGCCTGTGGATAAGATAAAATCCCCCCCGTACGCACAGCAGGCAGGGTGCTCGCTCCCTCACCTCGGACTGGCAGCACCGCTTCCTTCTCCGGCCCTAACACCACGTCACAACCCCCAGAGCAGAAAAACAGTGTTCGTGCTCTTGCTTTGTAGCCCCTTTGAGCCTGTTTGTAAAGCCCCATCACACGTGGCTTTCCTGGAGGAGCACAACTTCAACTTCTAACATTCCTCTTTCCTTTTTATTAGCAAAACCCCTGTTGGGATAGAAATCCAGGGCCCTGTTTGAAGAGTAGCGCACAGCTTTATCGATAAGAGCACTCGAGCGGTGCTCTGCAGCCCGGCTGCCTGAGGATGGTCCCCCCGGCGAGGGAATCGCCCCCAGAGGGGCGAGCGCGGCCCACGTGAGGGGACCCCCTTTCCCTTCGCAAGGGCTTCGGCCTGCGAACCGGTTCCAGCGGCGCTGGCTCAGCTCCCTGCTCCCGCGCCAACACCTCGAAAGGACGACGCTGGGGTTGCTCCTCGCTGGCGAGCGCTCGCCTGTGGGTTTCTTCCCCGCCGGGGAAGAAACCTCCCAAGCATCCCCGACCCCGAGCGGGACGCGCGCCTGTTGGTGTGCCTGGAGAGCCCAAAGCGGCGGCACGCTGGAGCCACGTGCTCTTCCTGAGCTGCCGTTCGCTGCTGAGCTCATATATAAAAAAAAAAAAAAGCCCCATGAAGCCACATATAAGTGTTTTCTAAAGACTAAATTACCGACACGTAGCTGGTACTAACTACCCATAAAAGCACATTTATTTTGAATGGAGCTGTCTGAGGGTGGCTGAGAAAGAAGATTCGGTATGAAGCACATTTTGTTTTCACGTTTCTAATGGCTGTATCTTAATAAGAAACGTCAATGGTATTTTAATGATTATTTTTTTTCATTAGCGGCAAATGAAAAGGTAAGTAATTTTACTTTAGGTAATATACTTGTAGTGTACACTACTAAAAGCATCTTAATAATTTTATAATCTTAATAAAGTAAGTGAAACGGTGTCTCAGCATGACTGATGAGCTCTTCCTTGGAGAGGCTGAGAGAAAACGTCTTCCTCTCTTTCAACCATGATTCAAGGAACATCTGAGTAATTTCTTTTTTCTTTCTCTTGTGAAGGAAAACAAGCTCTATTTTTCAGTAAGGAACAGTGGGAAAATCCAAGTGATCTATACTTAAAGAATTCATGTGCAGAGTATGATGCAATGAGCTATCTTGAGTGTGTGAGGAGTAGGTGTGAAACGTCTGACCATGTTCAGTGTCAAGTATTTCTCATCATTTCTTGACCATTGTTAAAATCTCAGAATATTCCCATTCACCCTCAGGAGAAAGCAAGACCTCTCAAAAATGTGACCATGTTCACGTTTAAACCCAAAGTATCCTCTAATGCCCAACAAAACGATGTGCAACACACACAGATAATGCATTTTATTATTAATGTCATAACATCACAATAGTATAATGATTATTAATTACACACAGAATCGTTAATCTCTGTAGTGCTTTATAAATATATTAGTGTATAAACGTGCATGTATTGCTTGTGACTATTTTATTGTCTCAGTGAAAGCAGTATTTTTTTTTTCAAATATAAAATATGACTGCTTTTGTTTCATGTTCCTTTGTAAACACGGCGTGGGGGAGATCTATTCGTGCTCTATGTTTCTCTGCCTTAGGGCCATTCAGGATTAAAAGAACTGCTGATCATTTTGCATTAATAAATGAAATACTATAGGTTATTGGCTCCATCCCCAAAACCTTCCAATAGTAAGAAAATACAGACAACTCCGTTGGCTCAGTTTTTATGAATTTTGAAAGCCATAACCTTCAAATACTGAACTCTGGCTCTTTTGAATTCTGTGGCAGTAACCTTCGGGAAATACGATCATTATAACCATCTCCTCACTTGTACTAGAAACAAAACATATTTACATGCCAGATAACAGAAATAGGGTTGTTGTTATTATAGCATTTTTTTAAAGCATGGGTTTCCTAGACCTGGAAAAGACCCTGGGATAGCAGGTCCTGTCCTGCTCACGCAGCAGCTTCTCTGTCTCCTAGGATAAGTGCACCATCTTGTGTTCGGTGTCGGTACTTGTTGCCAGGCAGAGGACCACAATCAATTCAATGACTATAAAATCTGTTTGTATGTATGAGATACAAGGTGCCCCTATACATACCACTCAAATTTTTAAAAAGAAAATATAATCGTTAAAAATAACATGCAATGACAGTGTTTGAAGATTTTTGTTTTGTATGTATTATTTTCTATAAACTATCATTTTACATAAAATTAATTATTGGTTCAAATCCGAACTGCAAAAAGAACCGTTAACAATGTTTTTTTTTCTTTAATTACTGAACGAAATTACTCTGCCCTGCTATTCATCTAGTTTTGACATTTAGTCACCTACCAGCTCTTTCCTCCATAGTTCAACAGCACAATTCAGAGAAACTGAAATTTTCTTTCTTTTCTCTTCCTTTCTCTGGCCTCTCATTTCCAGATCTCCCTGCCACCGCTGTGCATAATTATCCTTTCTTCTTAAGTCTGTGAAAAATGTCTTTTGTGCTGCTCTTATTCTCTTTTAATTTCTGAAACACTTCCTAATATTTTTCATTTTATCTGAAATCTCTTGTCATTCCTTTCAGCGCAGAATGCTTGAAGTGTCACCTATTTCTGCTGTGAGGTTCTCTCTCGCTTCCTTTCACTTCCTTTACAACTTTCCCCTAGTTCTCCTTTTCTACTTACTGTCACTACACTTCCTTCATTTCTTCCTCGCATAACTGTCCATCCTTCCCTTAAATTGTTCTCTGTTCCTTTGGGGGTTGTTTTTCCCCTGTTAATCCTGTCTTTGCGGTTGCATTCAGGATTAAATCAGACTAATTTTAAAGTGGCCAGAGCAAGTCATAGACATCTGGGAGGTTTTGCCTGCTCAGACACAGCACTCTGTCCTCATCATTTTCACTTTTAAGGCTTTTCACGCCATTCTGTGCGGGTTTTGGTGTTTTGGTGGTGGTTTTTTTTTTTTCTTTATGGCTCTATTAGCATCAACTTTCCCAATCCTGCACTTTTTTCACTTCACTTTTAAGGCTTTTCATGCCATTCTGTGTTGGTTTTGGTGTTTTGGTGGTGGTTTTTTTTTTGTTTATGGCTTTATTAGCATCAGCTTTCCCAATCCTGCACTTTTTTCCCCCTTGTTCCCGTGTCACTCTGTGTGCTTTCTCCGTTTGTCATCTGGGTCTTCTTTTCTTGTGCACTTCCTGCCTATCACCACGTATTTTGAACGGGTGCCATCTTCGGGCTTCTTAGATTTCCCTTTCACGAATTCTCCCCCTCTCCGTTTCACTTTTAGCGCAGTTCCTGCGCGCCGGAAAGAACCAGTCCCAAAAGCTCCTCACCTTACCCAGAAACAGAGCGTGAAAGGATGACGGTGCCTCTGGCGGGTGCCCTGCGTGATGTGCCACACCGTGAGGGGACACCGCACCCTCCGGGCTCAGCCCTCGCTGTCCCCAAATGACGGCCGCAGGGAGATAAGGCCCGTCCCAAAGCACCCTCCCTTGCTCATACGCACGTTCTGCTCTTTCTGTCCAGTTTAAAGCAAAATCCTTCCGGGAACAACCTTAATACCTGAACCAGGCTCACTGCAGCTTGGGAGGTGGTGTACCAGATTTTTCCCAAATTTGGACAGTGGGCAGAACCGGTCAGGCTGATCAGTCTTGGCTGAGGGATGCAGTGCACCTATACTGCTGCATCCGAGCAGATGTTGCGTATTTGGGGGCGTGTACCAGTTCTGAGGGCACCTACTACTTGTTTCACAGACCGTAACTGCTCTGAAGAAGCCATTACAGTCAGTTGTGGATATCTGAACTCAAACAGGCATTGAAAAGCAGATTTCTTGACAGGATATATGGAGTCATTAAGTTCTATGATGTTGTTATCCATTGTACCATCCTCAGCAAACCACCGAAGCAGTCACCTGCTCTAAGCCAGTCTCTGCACTGTACAGATCTGCATACAGGGATCTGCTCTCAAAGTTGCAAAGGAGAAAAATTGCCACGAAGCATCCAACTCTTGAGTATCAATAGCATGATCATCGTAACTCCTTTCCGATTAGTTAAGGGTTTAGGTTATTTTTTAAATTTCCCTTAAAAACAATTATAACAACAGTTTTGGGTTGTTTCAGCTAAAAAAATAATTAAGTTTTTTTTGCCAATTTAATACTGATAAAGTTCGTAGCTCTTTTTGTGCATGGAAGAAGATCTTCTGGTTTGGTTTTAGTAAAAGAAGTATGAGGAGTAATTTACCTTCACTATGTTGTATAATTTTGGAGTAGCATCTTTCCAGCCCCCGCACCGAAGGCTCTCCTGACGCTTGAGTACGCAGCACAGTTCAGCAGCGTGCACAAACCCTTCTGAGGGCTTCCAAGCTGCTGCTCCCCAGCAACGGCGTACGGCCTTCAGCGAAGCCTTCATCCTGCAGCTGTAACCCGCGTCACTCGCCTGCAGCGGGGGTCTCAGCGGCACTGAAGGCTGTTGCTTTTTTAAATCCTCACACTTGTGATCAGAGGGATACTTTTTTTGCTAATGACCAAAAGTTTTTAAAATAATTGTATTTTCTCTGTGTATAAGTGTTCGGGCGCTAAAGCACCTATCTTCTTTAGGGCGCACAAGTTTTCTTATAAAACTGGAGTTTCAGCAGCAAACTCTAAGCCAGATTATCTCCCATACACCAGGTCTGGTTGGGATACAGTTTCCTTTTTTGATGGCAGCCCCTAGGGTGCTGTGGTTTGGATCCGTGGCTAAAACTGTCGCTAACACATCAGTGACCCCCCGCCAGTGTACGGGGGTGCCGACCCCCTGCAGCCATGAGAGTCAGGCTGTGGGAAAGGCCATCCGCCTCAGGCAGCACTGAAACTCTCTTGCCACAGCATAACAGACCGTGTGTGACTTGAGTGCTGCCAGTGCTGCATGTCAGATATTAAATACGCGGAGGGAAGCTGTGTTGTACGGCTTTTTCCCGTTACAGAGTGCGCGATCACTCCTAGATGTGTTTGTTGTGGAGAGCTGAATGATTTACGACTTAATACCAGCTTTTTTCTCTCTTGTTTTTAGCCCCTTGTGAAGCCAACACATTCTTTTGCCACAGTAATATGTGTATTAACAATACATTGGTCTGCAATGGACTCCAGAATTGTGTGTACCCTTGGGATGAAAACCACTGCAAAGGTAATGTGGAGACTTGAAATGCCGCTTAGACTGCGTGGGATACAGCACACTGTCCTTAGTTTCTTGTTGAGTGTGTGCCAGGTGGGTCAAAGCTCAGGAAGAGCGATTCAGGGAGAGCATGCATCAAGCAATAGAGAAAATGGAGAGAGGTAAAAATACCAATGGATTTTATTTTCAGTGCTTGCACTTGTTTTGCTTGGTGTTGATTTGTGTTGGTTATGTCCTTCTGGCTGGTTACGTCCCTCTGGCAGGCTTTCTGATCGCTTGGGCTCTTTACAATCTAAAACATAATTAAAAGTCCTATTACAACCTAAATTACGATCTAAAATGGAACTAAAAGTCCTATTTTTGTTCCTTTGCCAGAGTTACCTTTGTAGTAGAGTAACATAAGGGTAGCAGATGCCTTTTAGCCACGTGCCATGCCCATGATAGCCCAGGTGGGCTAAAAAGCTGAGCTGAAGTTGAATTAACACTGTAAGAAAGCAACCAAATCTACCTGTAGTCAAGTGAGGCTGACGAGCAAAGAACAAGCCCAGGAAATCAGGCATAATGTCCATGTCATAGGCAAGGACTGATGTTCCCAACCAGGTGCTGACCGTGGTTTCTAAATATTGCTCTGTGTTTCTGAAAAAAAAAAACAAAACCGAAAAACCAGGAAAAAAAAAAAACATCAGTATCTCTGTTGTCTTCAGGGAAAAGAGCTTAACTAACTTACAGTGCAGGCTAGGGCGGCGAGGGAGGGAGTTCGTTTCCTTCCCCCCCCCCGCTACTGCAGATTTGTTCCTGGAAACATGGGATATGCCAAATTCAGGGACCAATCAAGGAAAAATTCAGGACGAGGTGGATTAGCAGTCGGCCCGTGAGTCTGCTGAAGCCTGTACAACCCTGACAAGCCGTGCGATAGAGTACGACACCAATGGAAACGTACTTCAAAGGAACACAGCAAAACTGTGGCACGGCATAGTATTCTGCAAAGACACTAAACATACAACTGGGAAATAGCGATCTGTTCCCTACTTCTCCGGCGCAGAGGAAAACAGAAAACCTTCCCCACTCTTTAATTTCCAGAACGATTTTCATCCTTCATTTGCCAAGTATCTTTTTATTGGGCCTTGTGCATTTATCCTCTCTTGTTTTTCTGAGTAGAAAGAGGAGGTTTGCTGGTTCCAGCAAAAAGCTTGTTGGCTGCTGCGTTGCTTTTTCTAACTCTGCTGCTTCCCCAGAGTCTGTGTCAGTCGCCCAGAGAAACCCTGGGTGACCTACGAGAGGAGGCAACGGGGAGTTCCGAAAAGGTCCTTTTTGGGGATCTAGGAGACTATGAAGAGATGGATGTTATTGTTTTGGTGCCAACAACTTCCATTTCAAAGGCTTTTTATTAAGTCCTTTGAAATGTTTTAGGTTGCCAGGAAAAATTACACTAAACTGGGTGTTGAAATTTAGTCACAGCGGTCGAGTCTTGCTATGGCCGTGAGAGAGCGACGTGGGTGCTTTCAGCTGGGATTTCTGCAAGGCTCAGCCGCCGTCTCACATGTCTGCAGCCGTCTGAAAGCAAATCACAGGGAAATGTACACAACAGTAGGGTGACACTGGTTTTCTTTTCATTATTTTACTGCGTATTTTCTCTTTCTCTTCATTCACGATGCTGAGTTTGCTGGGTAACTTCCTAGAGGCCCCTGAGCAGTAAAGGACAGTAGGTAGGACCAGCTTTTGGATTTTTGTGGGTGTTTAGAAAAGACGTGGCAATTAATATGTCAGGACAAAAGAAGTAACTTGTGAGCATCTTTTTGTCCTTTCTGAAACCTCAGTTTGAACAGCTTTTCTATTTTCTCCTGATTTAGCTTTTTCATTGGATACTGTCAACAGTCCCAGTCAGCTCATAAATATTAGGACTCCACTGAAGTTCCCAATGCAAAAAAGAATCTCTTTTAAAACCTTATTCTTTCATTGGTCCTAATGTCCTGGTTGCCTATGCTTACTGGGAGACAGAAAATAATGAAGAGAACATCTGTAACAGTCTTGGGGGTTTAGCAGGCAAGTGGAGCTCAGCGGTGACACTGAAGCCCTCTGCTTGTTACGGTGGTTGCTCTTTATAAAAAATGTAAATAATTCTTTCCTCTAAGTAAGCTTGTGATATACCCCAAATAAATCACTTTCCGAGTGAGTAGGCACACAGAGGACCTGCGTGTTGATTATCTGGCTTTCACAAATCTGTGACTTCTTCCCTCTTTCTCTCTGTCAGTGAGATTAAGTGAGCTCAGACACAGGCTAGGCTCGGCTTTGCAGAAATCTGCGCACCCATCGTGGTTGTTTTTATTCTTGAGCCGCAATTAACGCTGCGCTTTTTTTCCCTCCTGTCACACAGAAAAAAGAAAAGCTAACCTGTTGGACCAGCTTACCAATACCAGTGGGACTATCATTGGGGTGACGTCTTGCATTGTGATCATCCTCATTGTTGTCTCGGTCATAGTCCAGATCAAGCAGCCTCGTAAAAAATTCGTCCAAAGGAAAACAGACTTTGATCAAACAGTGTTCCAGGAGGTGTTTGAGCCTCCTCATTACGAGTTATGCACCCTCAGAGGGACAGGGACTACAGCTGACCTTGCTGATGTTGCAGATGACTTTGAAAATTACCATAAACTGCGGAGATCATCTTCAAAATGCATTCATGACCATCACTGTGGATCACAAGTGTCTAGCATTAAGGGCAGCCGTAGTAACCTCAGCACAAGAGATGCTTCTGTCTTGACAGAAATACAACCCCAGCCTGTAAAGCCACTCATTCAGCCCATGAACAGGAGAAACATCCTCGTCATGAAGCATAGCTACTCACAAGATGCTGCAGACGCCTGTGAGATCGACGAAATTGAGGAGGTACCGACCACAAGCCACAGGCTGTCCAGGCATGATAAAGCTGTTCAGCGGTCAGTATCAATAGATTTTTGATGAAGACTATTGTGTAAGGACTTGATTGCCCAAACATTTTCACTCTCTATTCAGTAAAGACATATTTTCTTTCTTCCTTATTTATTGTTTGTTTCTTTTTCCTGGTAGCGCATGCCGTTATTTTATCTCTCCCCTCTTGCCTCCCTTTCTGCCATCTCTGCTCCCGTTTCCTGAAGGGTCCTGTATCTCAGTTTTGCCTTCCCTCTTTATATCCTTCTTTTTCTTTTACTCTTTTACACGTACCCACATGCCTACACACACAGGTCAACAGAGAACAGGTACGATTCTTAAAAACCAAAGAAGATTTCGTGTCAATCTAGTTTTTGAAAGAGCCACATACCTGTGGTTTCCTTGTAACTGAGGTGGCCTTGAGTATCGTCTGCTGTTGGTCTGACATCTCTAAATCAACACGTCAATAAATAAAAAATACACATATGCATTTTGAGGCATGGCACAATAACGAGAAACACAATCCTGGGGTAAGGAAACCCCTTTTCTCGTGAAACATTCTCTTTTCTATAATGAATGGCGATGTTTGCAAAACTCTGCTGTGTCTGTTCCACTATCAATCATGGTATCTTGGCTTGTCATATTAACATAGGTACATATATATATATCGATTAGAACATGAGACAGCATGGTGGATAGAGAGTACTTACATATTTACATATAAGAATGTAGTTTAAAGGAATCTTTCTAATCAAAGAAAAAGTAAAGTCAAGCATGATATTTTTGATAAAAGACCTATTTCTACTGTACATTGCACTTTGAATGACTGTAAATATGAATGATTAAAAGTTTACAAGTAAAAGAAAAAGAAAAGCAGAAACATTTATGAACAATTTATTTGAAAAAGAACACAGAAACTTTTTATACATATTTGTGTTTTCTCTTGCATGCATTATTTATGCACTTCTTGTGACTGTTTACATGCCCTCCGTATTTTCTTTGCACATTAAGGCATTTCTGTCTCTTAAAAAAAATAATTTATTCGATTTATTTAATCTAATTGCATGCCGATGTAAGTTACTTCATGAATATTGAACAGATTATCAAGGTGTGCTGTTTATTAAGTATCTATATGCATATATTTCTTTTTTTCTATGCAAACATTATTATTTTGAATGAAATAGCCATAACATTCCAGGTTCTGCCTCATTGGGTCTCTAAGCAAACATGAGTCTGAGTACAACACAACTAGGGTCTAAGAGACAGCCTTGAGGTAAGTAAACGTACCTATACAACACTTGAACCCTCTGTTGCTTTCCAGTTTATTCGTTGTAGTGCTAAAATGCATGTTCGTTCCCAAGTTTTGTGGCACCTTGTACGGAGAGAGCCGGGGGCGAGTACCGAGCCAGCTGCCAGGCAGGGGACCGCTTTGGCGTAGTAAACTAAGGAAAATCTATGAATTCCTTACTCTTGACAGCTCTGTAATCATCCCCTCGCTAAGTCCAACCTTCATTCCAAACGCATTACAATGACAGATGCTTTGCATGGCTCTGGTCTTTCGTTGATTGATGAAAATAAGATTTAGCGTCCCAGCATGTGAAATGGTATGTACAACCCGGCAACCTAACCCGAGCCAGGAAGATGTGGAACTGTCCGTTTTCAGGTCATTTTCCTCATTCAGCCTTGTGAAGTGTCAGGGGACGGGTGTGTGGTAGTGCTGATAAGAGTAGAGATTCCGTAGCGCTAACGTTAATGTTTGCAAATTAAACTTCCTTTTTTGAGTCTTTTCCTAGGCTTTTCCATTTGTTTCGGTTTTTTATCATTACTTAATCTCAATAAACATCATCTCAAATGTTTCTAATGAAGTTATAGATAGCTGCTAGTCTGCCAACTGATACACGTACGTGTGCGTCTCTGCGAGCATAGATACGTATCTATACATGTCTGTATGTGTATATACGGGTACAGCAATTTTACTGGGAAAGAATCCGTTAATGCTTTTATTGCTTCCAGATAGCATAGGTAAATGTTTTTCTGTATTTTTCCTCATAGAAAAAACTCACTTTAACTTTGTTTTGCTTTCAGACAACTATTCACGCAGTCATGCAAACTCTGAATGGAAAAATCTATAGTGAATTATTTCAGCTGTCTGAAAGAGAGAGTGGACTTGTTTCTAATTTCATTTCATTGCCTTTATCCAAACCTGAGAAGTACAGACACATCTTACTTCCTTAGCAAGATATTCCCGTTGCACAATAATATGTTTCTTTGGTAATTTGGTTGCTGGCCACCAAGTGCTCCTTAGTTTTTAAATACATTCGGAGATTTGCTGCAGACTTGAAGAAGAAATTAGCTCCTAACTGAGACTGTCCCTTTTTTTTTTTTTTTTTTTAAATCTTAGTTTTATTTCGGTTGATATTTTTATGTCTGTTATTTACTTGTATGTTGTGTGACATGTGGAAAAAGATTTACATTGAACTTTTGTCGTATGTACGTTGTTTTCATTATATAGACTGCTTGAGAATAGTGCGCTCCTGGGTGATTTTGAACATGCTACAATGAAATGTGAAACTATCGACCTTGGGAACACCAGCTAGAGGTTTTATGGACTCTCTGACCAGCTATTCTCATATCATGACAAAATTCAGCAAACAGTGTTGAGCAAAATTACTAGAAGGCAATAAGACTTTGGTTATTATGCTTATTGGTCATTTCTCTTTTTCTTTTTCTCTCTTCTTTTCGTTGCAAGTTAAATTCCCAATTTCAGGAACAATTTATTGAAATCAGGTATTTAGCCATTCATAATCACTCCAATAGAAACGTTTGTTGGATAAGCATCTAGCAATAGGACTGAATTTGACATTGAGAAAATAATCTGCATGTATGTTACTGAATATTTGAGTTGGCAAAAATCCCTTTATTAGACACATTGTAAAAAGCATGCATCCACAATTATTGCTGTTACTGTTCCATTTCTGTGTCATATGCTTGCTACTTGTAACTTTTTATATAAAGATACATAAAACAATGTATAATAATTTCTTACCTTGAGTTTAATGGCAATGTTTTCTTTTACCAAATTTACGAATCTTGTGTAATTCGGGAGGTTCCGCTCCAGATGTAGCCACTAGGAACTTGAAACCCAGACACATCGGAGAGTCAGCTGTCTCTCATCCCTCACTTACCGAAAAGCAAGATACATTAATCTTTTAAGATTTAAATGAATTCCTAATACATAAAGTTGATCACCTAATTTCAGTTAAAAGGTTTGTGATAACCGTTGTGTTCAATTCTGTGCTCTCAATTAACTTATTTCCATGGCAATTATTAGGAAGTTCGCTTCAGCGCAGCAGAGCAGCAGATTTTTATCAGTTACACAAACGTGGTGGCTGGGCTGCAGTTTTAGAGACACAGACATAAACCAGTTCCTCACGCAAGACAAAATGAGATTCAGAACTCAAGCTACAAACGTTAGTAACCACCCCTGAAACCAAACCCGAGAGGCGAAGTTACCAAGGCCTTGTTGTAGGGGGGGAAAGGCACAGTTACATCAAGTTGAAAGCCCCCTCCTCTAAGAACTCGCCACCATGCATGAAACCGTAGTTTCTTTATCCATTTAAAATGTTATCTTCCAAATTCTGTTTCAAAACAAATCCCAGTTCCTTCTTAAACATGTTGTGCAATTCACTGTTGTTAGGTTTTTCTGTATAAAAATTTTGCTGGTTTTAAGGAAAAAGTAGGAAGAATTCCATGGATCTTTCCACGGTATAAATAGATGGGAAAAGAGAAAAGCTCAAAGACTACTGTAAAAAATAAGGTGATCTATATAAGCTATTTAAATGTACAGCACATAATTTACATATTTAAAAATACAGGTAATCTGATTTCTGCAAAACAATTTCTACAAATCTGGTTTAGGAACGACACCAGAAGAAGGGTTTCAGGTGTTTGCCTCCTCTTTTGTACACTGTATTTGCTAAGTATTTTCCATGATTAGATTTTAGCTTGGTTAATTTGTTTGGTATCAGGTATTAGCTGCCAAGAACAGCCGTCTGTCCTCTGCAGTCAGCGTCACTGAATCACCACTTTAGCGTGCACTCGTAGTTCGTTCACAGATCAGTCTCTCTTTCCAAGTCCATATACGTTATCACTGCTTTTTCCCTTAATCTTTCCAAGTCCTATTTCACGATCCTTTCTTAAGTATATTATGGTAAGATGTGTGCCACATCCGTGCCTAAAATGAATGCATCCATGCACTCGTTATAAAATCAAGGAAGAACGAGAGACCTGCTGGAAGAGATGCATAGCCCCGCACACACAGTTACGTATATTGATAAATATTTGCTAACGGAAGTAATGCATAAATAAATACATAAGGAGAAATGTAACTGTGAATTTAGCTCTGAATGAATTATGTTGGTCACCTAGAAAACTGCTGAAGCCTTGGATGTTCAAGTGGCTGTATATTCAAGTGCCTAAATCCCACTGAAACATAGGGTTGGTCTTGTCCCTCCTAGACAAGCACACAATGAAATCCATTTCATGATTTTTCCAGTGAAGTGTTGACCGAGAGAACTTAACTGGAGAAGACACGGGTATTAATAATTATGTGGCATGCACACCCTTGCTTTCTTAAAAAAAAAAACAAACTAGTTGCATCAGGGAAAATGAGTGGGAAACATAAAAACCTGTGTAAATAGAGCAGGCCAAACAAAGTGAGAATGGTATTGCTTATGTGATCTTGGAAATTCCTTTAGCAACACGTGGTCTAACAGCTAGTTATATCCTTAAAAAAAAGCACCGTTGTAAGTAACAAAATACGTGTGTACTGGGGGAACAGGGTCAAATTATAAAATTATCTGTTAAAAATAAAGAAAAATAAATTCAAACCCAATTAAATTATTATAACTGAAGTATTTAAATTTAAGTAATTATGCTCTGTATATAGTCAGCATAAATAATAGCCTAGTCCACTATACTGCAAACACTAAAGATAACTTTTGTTTGGTGTCACTCAACAGTAGGATACCTTAATGTGGTCTATAAAACTCGAAATGTTAAAATAAAAGGGGTTGTTGCTGAAAGCAAACAGTTTGCCTTTCCTATGAGTATTTTTTTTATTATCATGCAGCAACTTTTTTAAAAACAGAAAGCAGGTCGAGCAAGGTAGCTCGAGCAGCAAATGTAGTTCAAGCGACTTCAAGCTCACGCAAGCTCAATCAGCTACAGAGAGAATACTCAAAACTGGTATTTGGCCACAGACTCCAAGTGAAATTTGACCTATTCCAGTAGACCTTTTGTGGAAAGAAGGTTTGGCTGGTCAAATGAATACAGCTGCCTGTATTCTGTACAACAGTGAGTGGATTACTGTGGCTTAGCTGAGCTGGTAGCGTCAGCTTCGTGCATGGTACCTCGTATTTGCCTCAAGCTAAAACTAGGACTGGTGGTCACTAGAGCATTTGGACGGGCACAATGTGTGTGATGTATAGCCATGTTGACAGTATGCGTATTTCTTAATCTATTTTTAAATACTAATTTTTATTATCGTGGTGCATTGCCATACTGTTCATAGTTTTGCGCTTTTTTCCCCTTTTTCCCATGGCTGTAGTGCTATGTATAGCCTTTTCTTTTTAGATGCTAGTCTGAACAACCGCTCCCAACCGATTCTCTCAGCTCCAGGAAATATGGCCTTTTGAGTTTGTGAAGTCTTCTCTGCAGCATCGTTTAAAAACCTCAGGAAGTCCGTTTTGTAAACCACCCCAGTCTAAACCTTTTCTATCTTCCCAACGCTGAAAACAGCTTGAAGAAAAAAAAAAGAAAAAAAAAAAAAGGGCTCTGAGAATTGTTAGTACCTTATCCTTCTATTTTTCTCCATTTTCATGCTGGAGATATTCTCTTGAACCCAGCAGTGATGTAACCGATGGGAAGGAATAAGAGAAAGTAGAAAGGTTTCCTGCCCCCAAAAAATAGCTAGCACCAAAAAAAAAAAAAAAGAAAAGAAAAGCCATATAAAGATGGGGAATGGTGTGCTAATTGAAAGAAGCGTGTGAGGGATTGTTGCTCACACCCATTCACAAATTTACAGACACGTTTAGGACAGATAAATTCCCTAATGACCAAGTAAAGCTGTACTGCCCATGTCCACCTCCCAAAGACAGCTGTAGTACCTGTGCTTGACAGCACACCGGCCTGCAAACAGCGAGTTGGCCTTTTGCGTTTTCTTGCCTCTGCTTTGTACGCCGTCTCCCTGCTACCGCAGAGGTATTCCAGCCGAGGGAGCACAGCTGGAGAGCTAAATGACACAAAAACTGCACCATTCAAAACTCCTTTTATCGCAGAAGTCTGTACGTGATCTGGAATCTCTTATCTCCTCACTCTTGACTCAACGTTTGATGTGTAGTCCTGGGCTCATGGCTCCACTGCTCTCCCTCATCATCACCTTAGCATCGTCTCTCTTCACTCTCTGATGATCATTTCGCATCTGTACCGCTGCTGTCTTTCATTTCTGTCCACTGTGAGATTAGTTCTGTTGCCTCCTCTCCTCCAAACTCCCTGCCCGTGCTGAGACCCTGTCAGCTCACTGCCCTGGTGTCACCCTTGCACCCCCCCTGGCTCTTTTCCCGCTGTCACACCAGAGCCATCTTAACCTTACCTTGCCTGTACGCAGCAAAATGAAACCACGTGGTCGCAGCGTGTCTGAGTTACCTTTGATTTACGCAGCACAACAAAAGCTAGGAAGGTGCATTGGAGTAAAACGGGCTCCTGAGGGATACTGGGTTTGTGTTTTAATGCCCACGCATCAGTGTTGTCTGGGTACCTCTGGGCTGGCGCGCCTGCTCCTGCTGTAGTCACACCTCAATGGGCCGAAAAGAGGAACTCACCGCCACCCCTTTTCTTCTCCCAGCCATACCTGCGCCGCTGTCAAACCAAGTTTCGTTTGAAGCGCTTCTCTGTTTTCTCCTGTGCTGTGTTTCTACCAGTATGTCCCTCCACACCAGGTAGATCCCTGTCCTAGCCTCCTTCGCGTGCCTAACAGAACACGCACGAGCTGCATCGCCTGGCGAACACCTGCCAGTGGTGTGGCAGGGCTACCATCAGCCAGGTAAGAGCATCGGGCACCAGGAGAAGCAGGGGTTGCTGCTTCCCTCCGTTTCTTTCCCAGGGAAACGAGTCGTGCTGATCCGCAATCTTCCGACAAGGTGACTACTGGAAAAAAGGGAAGCTGCCATCCCCCTCGAGCAACGAACCGTAACCAGGAGTAGAGAGACAATCGAAGGTGCCCACGATGAATCTCGGAAAGCACAAGATTGCCCGGATTCCGTTGCCAAAGTCACAGGCCTGGCCGACCCCGTGCAGCAGCACTGCATCTCTCCACACTCCCGAGGGAAGACTGAAGCGCAATCCGTCTTTACCCCGGGGAGACGGATACCCGCACTGTGAGTACCGGTTCTGCTCAGGGCTCTGCAAGGACTTGCCAGCTGCTGGCAGAAACGGGGGCAGGCAAGGACGTACTGGGTCTGTGGGCACCTCTGCCACCTCTGCCACCTCAGACAGCTTCTTAATATGCCGTTCTTCAGTCTGTCCTCCTCCTCTCCAGCGAGAGACGTAGCAATCGCTCTCAACGACCTCTAATACGGTGGCTTCATGGGAAAGTGGTTACTCAGCATTGAATTCGCTTGGATGTCAAAGACATTCATGGCACTTGCTGCAGCTATTGTAAAAAAATAATAATATTTGAGGGGTTTTGCACAGGTCCTAAATGGATGTGTGTGGTTAAACGAACCGTTCAGCTGTACCAACCGCATCAGTAAACCAAGACACCTTCCTTCCATCGGAGGTTCTGCCAATAAAACTGCAGGGCCTGATTCATGCTCTGTTCACACCACCCCTCTAGCTCCTGCTTTCTTCTGAGTTCAATAAAAATTTTAACCAAGAAAAACCTGTGCAAAGTGAACGGCTTTCACCATCTTTAGTGAAGCACAGAATACATCTTACGTTGGGGAAGCAGATCTTCGTTCCTCACTCCTTGCTTAGTGCT